GCAACACAAAATCTTAACAAAGTACTCAGAACTGACCTTAAAAATTCCCCAGTGATAACTAGCCTACTACTGTATGTTATTTTTGCGTTAGCATGTACATACTGTACTGAGTTGTATACATGCATATATTTTCTGTGGGGAGCCCTGTCGGCTCCTTGAAGCTAGCTTACTGATTAAAGCAATTAGGTCATGGGGTGGTGGAAAGCAACTGGCAGAGTACAGCATTGTACTCTAGCATTGGCACAAGTAGTTTAGAATATAAATAATCATAGGAAGGTAATCATGGAGTTTGTCGATAAGAGGAAGATCAGTTGTGGGACATTAAAACATTGAGGCCATCTAAAAATGTGCACTGGATGATGCTGTCCATATGGTTCACACATTATATGATTGGGTACCCCCATGGTAACCAGCAAATTCAATCCGTTGTGGAAAGAATGACCCATATCATGGGCTGGGCATTAAGGACTTAATGGCCAGTGTAGGGTGGCAGCAGAAGTTTCAATGGACAGCATGATATGGCATCAACCATATTTAACTGCCTCTGGGTTACCAAGACCAGCTTGTACTTCAAAGATGCTAGTAAAACAAATATTTTTATTTTTGTTTATATATAAGTAATGTGTATATGTAATATATAAAAGGTAGAGGCACCATCAGAGGCCCAAGACTGCTCAACACGCTTCCACTACACATAAGGGGTATAACTGGCCGACCCCTCACAGTGTTCAAGAGAGAACTATCAACATCAGAGGCCCGAGACTGTCCAACACGCTTCCGCTACACATAAGGGACACAACTGGCCGATCCCTCGCAGTGTTCAAGAGAGAACTTGATAAGGACCTCCTAAGGATACCTGATCAACCAGGCTGTGACTCATCGTCAGGCTGCCAGCAGTCGTGTCCAACAGCCTGGTTGACTAGTCCAGCAACCAGGCCGCGGGAAAGCTCCCTGAAAGCTATAGTATGTCGTGTGCATAGCCCAACCAATACTAACCCCCCCCCCCCCCCCCCTTCCCAAACCGACACCATCCCTCCCCTCCTCACAGTCACCCTCGCCAACCAGCCCACCTCGCTACCTGTGTCCTGGTGCCCCCACACCCAGCTGGTGCCCCTACACCCAGCTGACATAACCGCTACACCAGCCAACTCGGCCATGACCCAGTGCATTTGTCCCCCACTATAGAATAATGCACATTTCAACTCTTAACCGAGTTGAAAAGGAAGGGGGTCCAAGCGGTCGGACAGGACTCCATAAGCCTTGAGGTGCCAACTACTACTCCTAAAAGAGGTTTTTGCCAAGTATGCAACAAAAACACCACCATAAACACTAACGGTGATGTTATTCGCTTGCACACCATCAATGAGGCAAGATGCAGAGGATCCCACCAGCCTCCAAACAAAAGCAATGACCAGCTACTATTAACAGTTAGGGAAAACACTCCCATTAACTTAACCATCTGAAAACCTCATGCAAGCGATCATAGTGACGTCTGCTAGAACATTGCCACACATCCCAAAAGCAGCCTGCCCCAATGCAGCAGCCAAACTCTCTAATCTTCTGAAAAGGGTCAATGACTCTTCAGAAGTAACAACACTGAATGCCAGCTGCAGTAGACCTGACACTGCCGCACGATATGATGCGACAGTATTCAGCATAAGATGCCAATTGAGAAAGAGCCAGGAAAGAAAGGGGAGTACCACTTGCTCTGAAACTGAAGAAAAACTACATAAGGAAATGAAGTGGCAAAAAGAGCACCAAGAAACCTCGTACTGCCACCTTGAGGAAGCCCATAGGAGAGGGAACACCAACTCAGCCACCTAATCCCTATATACATGACAATAAACCTGTGTCACAAATACCAAATGAGTAGAGTGGAGGTGGTTAAACCAGCCATGTACATCAGTGGGCTTATCCTCTGAAAGCTGTGAAAAATTTACACCAAACAAACCTGAAATCAAGACTGAGCCAGCCACCAGGGAGCTAGGAGAGCCCTTCTTCGATAGGACTCCAGCCAGGACAGAACCTCGAGCCACAGCTGGAACAGAGGGAAAGAGGTAAAGGAACCCTCACCGCAACCAGTCCAACTGAAAGGCATCCGCCCCAAGAGACCTGTAATCAGGGAACAGCATCGAGGTACAAGGGAAGGCGCAGAGACCATACCAACATTAAGAGGTCCATGTCCAGGTGCCCAAAAGTCTGACATAGCCACAGGAAGGAAGCGGCACCGATGATCCACTCTGTGGTAACAGGCAGGAACCAGGACAGACCGTCAGCAAGGATGTTGGACACTCCTTTCACATGAACCGTGCAGAGAACCAAACCCTGTTAAGCCAGAGGAAGAGCAATCCATAGAGTCCAGCTACAAAAAGGAAGGGACCAAAGGGAACTCCCACTGGGTGGGACCCTAGGGGAACAGTCTGAATGGAGCTAGATGAAGGAGCCCTGTGGAGTCCAAACCTTCCTCAATGCAGGCTACAAGGCTGCAAGCTCTTGGACCGTACTGTGTGCCTGACAAAGGAGTGGAGACCGTTACTCTCTGACTGGCTTGGCGAGCGCTGATCACAGAGCCACAACCAAGAGCTTCCGTGAAAATGTTGAGCGAAGGCAGAGGAAGGATCCAGGACCCTGACACCTGAAAAACCCAAAGAGGAAGCCAGCAACACCGCACCCAGTGCAGGTTCACACACAATGATCATGGGAACAGCAAGAAGGTCTGCCCTGGACCAGAAAAGCCTCCAAAACCAAATACTGCCCAGGGGATAAACAAGGCAGGCAAAGTTGAGGCTCCCGCACAGCCGCGGAAGTAACTGCCTAGTATGTTGACCAGACCACACACTAGAAGTTGAAGGGACGACGACATTTCGGTCCGTCCTGAACCATTCTCAAGTCGAATCGACTTGAGAATGGTCCAGGACGGACCGAAACGTCGTCGTCCCTTCAACTTCTAGTGTGTGGTCTGGTCAACATACTTCAGCCACGTTATTGTGACTCATCGCCTGCAACTGCCTAGTAACAAGTAACTGCCAAGTCACCCAAGGCCAACTAAATACCAACAGACAGTAGCGCTGCAGCTGGAGCAAGGCTACCGGAAGCGGGACGAGAGGTGCCAACCAAGAGTCCCAAACTAGGCCCAGCTAAGTCCGAACTCGGGATGGAACCAAGTGGGACTTCCACCAGTTCACCAGGGGCCAGATTCACAAAGCAGTTGTGCAAGTACTTACGACCGTGAACATCTTTGCTCAATCTTTGACGGCTTTGGTTACAATTATTAAACAGTTTACAAGCATGAAAACTTCCCAGTCAACTGTTATTATTGTTATCAACAGTCTCCTGGTGCTTCGGAGCTCCTTGTTTAATAATTGTAAACAAAGCCGCCAAAGATTGAGGAAAGATGCACAGTTTCGTTAGTGCTTGCATAACCGCTTCGTGAATCTGGCCCCAGGAACCCAAACCTGGCAAGCTGGGAAAGAACTAGATCTGAAGCAAGTATACACACAAGCTGGCTGGGAACCCAAACCAGACCTAAAAGAATACTCTGCCAAATCTACACCAACAGATCCAACACTTTCAGGACGATGTCCATGTCTCAAAATGCAAAAGTAAACTAAAGCATAGAAACAGCATAGTAGGCCAGCACAACCTGGCTACAACAGCCGAGAAGGCCGAGCCTGGTGCGCTGATGTATAGCACACAAACATCCAGTGCACCCCAAGCCAGCAAAAGCTGCACCATACCTGAGTAAAGACAGGAAACCCAAGGAACCTTCTCACCTTGAGCAAGGACCATCACAAGCGAAGAGGGCCCTCTAAGGGAGCAACCCCTGAAAACCCCAGGGACGAGAACCCTGAAGTGTAAGGGCAGCACTAGGGAGCACACAGGGAAGAAAACCCTGTACACATGCAGCTCCAAGCATCCTAAAGTCCTGGGGCTAGATTAACGAAGCAGTTACACAAGCACTTACGAACCTGCACATCTTTTCTCAATCTTTGGCCGCTTTGTTTACAATTAATAAACAGTTAATTAGCTCCAAAGCACCAGGAGGCTGTTGATAACAATAAAAACATTTGATTGGCAAGTTTTCGTGCTTGTAAACTGTTTAATAAATGTAACCAAATCCGTCAAAGATTGAGGAAAGGTGTACATGTTCGTAAGTGCTTGCATAACTGCCTCGTGAATCTAGTCTCAGGCTCATGCTACACTGAACAGTGTAAAGAAAAGCCATTGAAGGTATGAAACCACTAGTTGTACAGTACTTAGCTGAAGCAGATGGCCTGAACCCAAGCGGAGAGAGGCAACCTCATACACACACTACACAAATCAGCATAAAACTAAGGGGGCTGTGTTGCCGGCTGACTGCAAGCTACTTTCTTCCCCCCCCTTCCCCCAAACAAGTGGGGAAGGTGGGGCAAATGAGCTGGCGATTGTTTTGAAACTTTCCTATCATTTATTGTACATTGTTTGCATTGTCGAGGCTATGGTCTCTTCTTTAGCCAACTGTGGTTTGATTTGTCTCGCTAACTTTCTGGGTGTATTTCCCGGTGGTGGCTTTAATAAATAGATAAATGGCCGAAACACTTTGCGTAATAGTGGCTTTAGGCATTGTATGTACTAGCTCTTATCTATAAATCCATCAATCTTTGTAAAATCTCTTGTATGTATGTACCTTACCTAAATAAACATTTATTTATTTATTTTATAAATGCCATTGCTCCATGTGCCTTTGTGAGGGAGGAGGGAGGGAGGCTGGGTTCTGCTTCTCGGTCCCCGGTAGGCCCAGTACAGCTCTGCAGTTGATGCGACCCAGTAGATAGTACACTATTAGTGAAAGTATCTCCAGGGAGCCACAAAGGTTCCTTCCCCCCCCCCCCTCCCCCTCCCAAAAAAGAAAGTATTCCCAAACAAGATTCCTAACAAGTCATTGATGGAAGAATGCCATACCTATTTACCTATTTTGCTTCACCAAATCAACAATTTATAGAGGAAAATAACAGCAGAAATACTTTTGGTTCCATTATTTGTTTACAAAATTTATTAAATACAATATGCCGTAATAGTGATGTTGATCCTTTTGTTGTCAAATAATATATGGTTGCAATATTAATTAATACATTTTTTAATTTGATATAATAAATGTATGTATAAGGACAATATTTGCATCATGACCAAATACATCTACAGAATACGTAAAAAATTATTTAACAGAGCCCGGTATCTTCTACAAGTACGTTAAGAACCGTCTCACCAACTGCTTGGGAAACCCTCATTCCTTGACTGTCAGAAGATGCTTGTGAACCATTTCTTCCTTGTTGATCAAGTGTGTAGTTTTGTTGACAAGAGCCATGAGGTGATGCAGGGAGTCAGACCAGCTATTCAGAAGCTGGGAATGTTCGGGGGTTGTTCCAAAGTTGACCACTCCCTCGAGTCTGTCCATGCGTGCTATGACCGTTCCAGAAACTACCAGTTGACACAGGAACTCTTCGCTCTCCTAGGGAAGCAATATAATGAGACATACTGCACCCATCACAACATGCCAATAAAATACATTCCACTAACACTGATGAGCAGGCAACTGGATTTATACATTTCAAATACAGGATATGTACTGCATATACTCAGCCTTCTACTATTAAAAGAAACACAATCATATGTAAATTAAAGAAACAGAGATATTGAAAAAGCTTGTAAGAATGTGATAAATTGTAAGAGATTGAGACTGATATAAATATTAAGATATATGGTGTGAGAAATATTGAGAGAGATTGTATGCAAGACTGATAAATATATATATTGAGAGAGAGATGGCGAGATTGTGAGATATTTGGAAAGAGACTGAGAAATTGATATGTATTGACAGATTGAGAGATACAGAGTGAGAAAAAGACATATATATTGAGAGATTAAGACAAGACATTGAGAGATTGTTAGATTGAGATATTGAGAGAATGTAGGAGACAGCCAATGTTCCAAGACATTGAGATATTGTTAGATTGAGATACTGAGAGAGATTGTAGGAGACAGTTACAGGAACATTCAGGCAATCTTGTCATAGGGATTCAAAAGTGGGCCAAAACCAGATGAGAATTAGAAACTCAAAGAAAATTTGCGTCTGGAAGGGTTGGATCCAAGGTCTGGTGGTCCCTGGTAAAAGATTGGCAGGATACTCATCCAAGGATACAATCCTGCCTCATCCTCCAGGAGGATGGAGCTGTTGCAACCACCAATCAGAAGGCTGATCTACTGACAAACCACTTTGCTGCCATGATGCAAGTCCCTGATCCTGAACAACATCCTCCACACCTAGTTCCAAGTACTGCATCAAAGATGACTGAATTGGTTATTCAACAGATGGTGTATCTTGAGATTATCTCGAGATGATTTCGGGGCTTTAGTGTCCCCGCGGCCCGGTCCTCGACCAGGCCTCCACCCCCAGGAAGCAGGCTGTGACAGCTGACTAACACCCAGGTACCTATTTTACTGCTAGGTAACAGGGGCATTCAGGGTAAAAGAAACTTTGCCCATTTGTTTCTGCCTCGTGCGGGAATCGAATTCCGCGCCACAGAATTACGAGTCCTGCGCGCTATCCACCAGGCTACGAGGCCCCTAGAGGGCCACTCACTCGAGAGCTGACCAAATTTATCAAGTGAAAGCACACTCACCTTAACTGAAAGGTCCAAGAGCTCTGCCATTCTCTTCAAGTGGATCCTAGTATAATACTTGGCCATCATCCGAATATTCTGTAAAAATACAGGAAAAAAAAATAAAATAAAATTCTAAACTGGAAAATGTTCGGACTAGCCTGAATGCATACTGTACTTATTTATTTCATGAGCCATTACAAAATTATTACATAAAGGGTGTTAAGAGGGTGGAACAATGTGTGTGTTCCCTACTGCAGTATGTAATATCTATGGAGATACTGTACTAAAATTTTGACTCCATACTTCATCATCGGTGGGCGAAAGTGTTAATAGCTTCCAGCAGAGTACTTCGATGTACAGTAGGAAACTGATGGCCAATATTCATGACCCATAAAGAAGTTGCAATAAATTTTTCACTGTCAAGAAAAAGGGGAATTGAAGAATATCAACAGACTAGATTGTAGTGTTACTTTTAGTGCAGTTTGAATGCACCAAACTTTCTTAGGTGGTCAAGGTCAAGCAATTTTTCCCTATTCTATATTTTAAGTAAATACAATTAGGATTGTCAAGATATTGAATTGAAACCTTCCTTGATTTGAAATTGAAATAAGTTTATTGAGGTAAAATACACACAAAGGGATGAGGTAGCTCAAGCTATTCTCACCCCATTGGGAGAAAAAAAAACCCGTAAGCTATCTCAAGAAAGAACATGAATACTTGCCATAATAAAAACATGAAAACAAACTTACATGCTCAACCACACGGTTTTTGAGCTTTGTCCAGCGGTCGTTGCCCTCTTCATTGTTTGGAAACACTGTCGTAGCTTCTGACCTCAGCTCTGCCTCGTACACATCACACAGCCGAGACCATTTGATTAACTCGGCAGTCACAAACAATTGCAAAAGGTCTCTGAAAATTTCCAGACATTAATCATAATTATAGCATTTTTGGGCCACAATTCAATACATTACATAGAATTAATGTTACTTAAAATAAGAATCTCCCTAAACATACAACTTTCCATTATCCATTGCACATGCTGAACCTCTTGTGTACATTTGAACTGGGTTGTGACAATGACAGATATGTTATTGTCACAATGACAGTGGGAATGGGAACAAATATGTTAATACAATACACCACCCTATATGATGAAATCATTTAGAGCCCTTTAACATTAAATCAACAAGTAAGAAAGACTAACTAGGCAACAAAACTCTAAGATCATGTTTCAGGGTCATTCCACTCCCTCTCAAGGTACAGGCATGGGAAGGTGCTGTACAGTCACCACTCACGCCTCCTCTAGCAAGGTGGTGGATGCTAGACAACTGATGACCGAGACAACACATGCACCAAGGTAAAGAGGACAAGAGCAAATATTTCTCAGAGCAACGAAATACTGATGTGCGCACGTCAAGCTGGCCAGATATAATCTTCTGTGGCACCATACGGCTCAGCATCCCAGGAAACTAGATTATATGATGCAGGTTTTAATCAGAGAGCCGTGGACACACACTAGCTATGCTACCATCACCTTCAATTACCACTGGTAACATCACCATGAACACCACAAATTTGCCACTCGGTTATAAGAATACACATCTTTCAGCATGTCAATTTGTCATATGCCATCAAATAAATGCATTAACCAGAGAAATAACACATAACATGCAAGTAAGTATTTTTGGATATGCAAACTTATGTTTTTTGTTTCTCATTCATTTTTCTCAATTGTTTAAAAGGAATTTGGTTGAAACTTGACCACAGTAGTGGATGCATCAGATGCAACAGAAGTGTAAAGTATGAGGAGACTCTCCACCCTCTTCTACTAATGGCATCATCTTTGATCTATATTTACTCAATAGTGAATTTCAGCAACTTCAAATGTACAAATAAGCTATACAGTAGTTTCAAAGTCATTCTCATTTATACATATTACATGCAATGTTTATTGTTCTTTAGATTTGACAATTTGTTTCTAATTTACAACCTAATTTATAGTCTTATCGAGTTATAAATTTCAAAATGTGTAATACTGTATATACATATGAAACCAACAGTGAAGAGCAACAACGAAGGGCGAGGAAATGGAGGAAAGTATGCCATGAGACTTCATATTGTCACCGAGAGGACTGCAGGTGGGACACCAACAAACCAGCCACTTGATCACCATAGAAATGGCAATTAAACATACTTCAGAAGCTCCAGAGGCTTAGATCAGAGGAAAAGGCAGAAGCTGCAAGGTACGTCATCGGACCAATCTTCTGAAAGAGGTGGAACCATGAGAAAACAGCCGGGTTCAGACACTGAACAAGCAGCACCAGAAACCAAAGGTAGACCAGACACCAAGAAGCCACAATCATCATCATTCCCCTGTATGTATCTCCAATTTTACTAGGACACAGCAAGAACTGGACTGGGAAAAAACAAAGTACAGAAATGTACAGTACAAAAGTACTGTAAACGTAAAGAGTACAGGAACCCCCAAGGAGCCAGAAGATGAACTACATGTACAGTCCAGCTCCAAAGAGCCAGGGACCATAGAGAATTTCCCCCCGTTAAGAAAATGAACCATGGAGAGTGTGTCCAAATGAAGCCAGACTACAGAGCCCAGAGGGATTCTAGCCCTCCACAGCACATGGCCGCACACTCTCGCACAGTACTGCGAGCCTTCTTGCCAAAGGCAAGAAGACCATGGCCCTTGACCAGCTTGGTGAGTGCTAGTCACAAAGCCCCAAACAAGTGCTGGGCCATCTGTGAAGACACTGAGCGAGGGTGGAGGAAGGCACCAGAGAACCAAAGCCCAAAAAGACCGAAGAGGAAGCCGGAGGCACAGCAGTTGGCAAAAGATCCACCCCCCCCCCTCGAAGATCGCACCCAGCGTTCACAGGCACAAGGGAAGAGCCGGCTGTCGAGAATTAAAAACAACTTCCAAAGTCATGCCCTGCCCGAGGGGAAATAAAGACAAAATTTAGGCTCCGACACAGCTGCTTTTGAGCAACTGCTGGGTCACCCAGCATCCACTTAACACCAACATACAGTGGTGCTGCAGCTGAGTCAAGGCTGCCAGAGGCAGGGACAGTGAAGTTGACCAAGAATCCCAAACGAGGCCAAGCCAATTCTGAACCTGGGATAGAACCAAATAGGACTTCCGCCAGCTCACTAGGAACCCAAACCCGGCGAGCTGAGAAAAAACAAGATCCCTGGACATCAGACACATGGACCAGCTGGGAGCCCACACCAGCCAGTCATTGACATATCTTCTCGAGGTTAGCTTAGAGATGATTTCAGGGCTTAGCACCCCAGCGGCCCGATCCTCGACCAGGCCTCCCTTTTGTTACACATCCCCAGGAAGCAGCCCGTAGCAGCTGTCTAACTCCCAGGTACCTATAGCATCAGGGAGCCACAAGGGGCTTCCCCCAAAAAAATTGTTTCTCAAAAACATAAAAAAATCTAAAAAGTAACTTGGCAATATGAAGATTACTTTTTAATAAACTAATTAGGGTCAAAATATTGGAAATGTTTACATTTTTAGCATAATTTTTTTTTTTTGGGGGGAATGATTTATTAATTTTTTGTTTTACTGTTTACTTAGTTATATTTTAGGCTGTCTTTCAGTAAACTTTGGAACACATTAACAATCTTTTCTTTTCCCTTCACAGTGTCTAGAGTGTGCAACGGTCTCCTAAGTAATCTATACGTGCAAGAAATATTATGAGGCATTAGTAATTTATAGGAAAGGCAGCGACCAGACCCTGGGTGTGGCAGCGACCAGACCCTGGGTGCGGCAGCGACCAGACCCTGGGTGCGGCAGCGACCAGACCCTGGGTGCGGCAGCGACCAGACCCTGGGTGCGGCAGCGACCAGACCCTGGGTGCGGCAGCGACCAGACCCTGGGTGCGGCAGCGACCAGACCCTGGGTGCGGCAGCGACAAGACCCTGGGTGCAGCAGCGACCAGACCCTCGGTGTGGCAGCGACCAGACCAGACCCTGGGTGTGGCAGCGACCAGATCCTGGGTGTGGCAGCGAACAGACCAGACCCTGGGTGTGGCAGCGACCAGACCAGACCCAGGGTGTGGCAGCGACCAGACCCTGGGTGCGGCAGCGACCAGACCAGACCCTGGGTGTGGCAGCGACCAGACCCTGGGTGTGGCAGCGACCAGACCAGACCCTGGGTGCGGCAGCGACCAGACCAGACCCTGGGTGTGGCAGCGACCAGACCCTGGGTGCGGCAGTGACCAGACCAGACCCTGGGTGTGGCAGCGACCAGACCAGACCAGACCCTGGGTGTGGCAGCGACCAGACCAGACTCTGGGTGTGGCAGCGACCAGATCCTGGGTGTGGCAGCGACCAGACCAGACCCTGGGTGTGGCAGCGACCAGACCAGACCCTGGGTGTGGCAGTGACCAGACCAGACCCTGGGTGTGGCAGTGACCAGACCCTGGGTGCGGCAGCGACCAGACCAGACCCTGGATGTGGCAGCGACCAGACCCTGGGTGTGGCAGTGACCAGACCAGACCCTAGGTGTGGCAGCGACCAGACCAGACCCTGGGTGCGGCAACGACCAGACCCTGGGTGTGGCAGTGACCAGACCAGACCCTGGGTGTGGCAGCGACCAGACCCTGGGTACGGCAGCGACCAGACCAGACCCTGGGTGCAGCAGCGACCAGACCCTGGGTGCGGCAGCGACCAGACCCTGGGTGTGGCAGTGACCAGACCAGACCCTGGGTGCGGCAGCGACCAGACCCTGGGTGTGGCAGTGACCAGACCCTGGGTGTGGCAGCGACCAGACCCTGGGTGCGGCAGCAACCAGACCAGACCCTGGGTGCGGCAGCAACCAGACCAGACCCTGGGTGCGGCAGCAACCAGACCCTGGGTGTGGCAGTGACCAGACCAGACCCTGGGTGCGGCAGCGACCAGACCAGACCCTGGGTGTGGCAGTGACCAGACCAGACCCTGGGTGTGGCAGCGACCAGACCAGACCCTGGGTGTGGCAGAGACCAGACCCTGGGTGTGGCAGCGACCAGACCAGACCCTGGGTGTGGCAGCGACCAGACCAGACCCTGGGTGTGGCAGCGACCAGACCAGACCCTGGGTGTGGCAGCGACCAGACCAGACCCTGGGTGTGGCAGCGACCAGACCAGACCCTGGGTGTGGCAGCGACCAGACCAGACCCTGGGTGTGGCAGCGACCAGACCAGACCCTGGGTGTGGCAGCGACCAGACCAGACCCTGGGTGTGGCAGCGACCAGACCAGACCCTGGGTGTGGCAGCGACCAGACCAGACCCTGGGTGTGGCAGCGACCAGACCAGACCCTGGGTGTGGCAGCGACCAGACCAGACCCTGGGTGTGGCAGTGACCAGACCAGACCCTGGGTGTGGCAGCGACCAGACCAGACCCTGGGTGTGGCAGAGACCAGACCCTGGGTGTGGCAGCGACCAGACCCTGGGTGTGGCAGCGACCAGACCAGACCCTGGGTGTGGCAGCGACCAGACCAGACCCTGGGTGTGGCAGCGACCAGACCAGACCCTGGGTGTGGCAGCGACCAGACCAGACCCTGGGTGTGGCAGCGACCAGACCAGACCCTGGGTGTGGCAGCGACCAGACCAGACCCTGGGTGTGGCAGCGACCAGACCAGACCCTGGGTGTGGCAGCGACCAGACCAGACCCTGGGTGTGGCAGCGACCAGACCAGACCCTGGGTGTGGCAGCGACCAGACCAGACCCTGGGTGTGGCAGCGACCAGACCAGACCCTGGGTGTGGCAGCGACCAGACCAGACCCTGGGTGTGGCAGCGACCAGACCAGACCCTGGGTGTGGCAGCGACCAGACCAGACCCTGGGTGTGGCAGCGACCAGACCAGACCCTGGGTGTGGCAGCGACCAGACCAGACCCTGGGTGTGGCAGCGACCAGACCCTGGGTGTGGCAGCGACCAGACCCTGGGTGTGGCAGCGACCAGACCAGACCCTGGGTGTGGCAGCAACCAGACCCTGGGTGTGGCAGCGACCAGACCCTGGGTGTGGCAGCGACCAGACCCTGGGTGTGGCAGCGACCAGACCCTGGGTGTGGCAGCGACCAGACCCTGGGTGTGGCAGCGACCAGACCCTGGGTGTGGCAGCGACCAGACCCTGGGTGTGGCAGCGACCAGACCCTGGGTGTGGCAGCGACCAGACTCTGGGTGTGGCAGCGACCAGACCCTGGGTGTGGCAGCGACCAGACCCTGGGTGTGGCAGCGACCAGACCCTGGGTGTGGCAGCGACCAGACCCTGGGTGTGGCAGCGACCAGACCCTGGGTGTGGCAGCGACCAGACCCTGGGTGTGGCAGCGACCAGACCCTGGGTGTGGCAGCGACCAGACCCTGGGTGTGGCAGCGACCAGACCCTGGGTGTGGCAGCGACCAGACCCTGGGTGTGGCAGCGACCAGATACAAGTACTCTCGACAAATATTCAAATACAGTACTGCACAACATTAATTTTAATGATGCTTCCTATTTCAATTAACACCTGAGAGGCAAGAAACACCTGCCAGGAAAGGCAGGAAAGTGCTACAATATACAGCTTTTAATAAGACAATAGTTATTGTCTATTGTACAAGAGAACTTGTAACATTAGGATAAATTCACCTAATACACACGGGAGACATCTCCCGTCACGCAGGGTGCAGTCGCACCTCAACAGATCTCCAGTATCATCTACTGATACTGGTAATGGCTCAAAAGGGCCGCCACTTACAACATTAGGATAAATTCACCTAATACACACGGGAGACATCTCCCGTCACGCAGGGTGAAGTCGCACCTCCACAGATCTCCAGTATCATCTATTGATACTGGTAATGGCTCAAAAGGGCCACCACTTACGGGCTATTCATGCCCGTGCCACCTTTTGGGTGGCTTAATCTTCATCAATCACCTAATACAGTTTTACTTAGCGTTTTAAAAAGACCATCAAATTATAATTCTACATCAGGTTGTCTCATGTACTTTCAAACTTTAATATACAAAATAGAATACTCTATGAAACCACAATTATGTGATATATCCGAGAGTATCATTGGAGCAGGACATTGGACCTGTATCCTGGGTCAGCCCAGAAGCACACCTTAGTGTATCCTGGTCAGTGGGCTAAGACCCCACACCTCGGGTGACCCAGGATGCTGGGTCAATCCACCTGTGACTCCAAAGATTTTCTTACAAAATCTAAGATGAACTTAGTTAACTGTGCACCTGTTTCTCCTACCTATACTGTGGAATATCTTCTAGTGTCTTGTCTTCTTTGATACGATGAAGGAGGTCACTCTGTTCGTTATCGTACGGTGCCAAAATGATGAATAAAACCACGTGCTTCAGTACTCTCTTCTTCTCTACTTCGTTTTCCTGAACACTCTTGGAATCGTAGATGGCCCGGTAGTGGCGACATATACTCAGGAATGAGCTTTCGTGGCTATCCAGCTCAATCATTAAGCTGTAGATAAGGAATATCATACAATGTATATAAGATAACGAATATTAGAAAACAACAACAAAAATTAAGGGAGAGTAAACAAAATATTAGGTTTTCCATAACTGCCAATATTTAATACATTAGCCCAGGCTGGTTTTAATAACAAAACACTATTTAATGTGTATTTCAGTGATAAACGTCAATTAGCTACTGAAAAAAAAAGTCTCTAAATTTTGAAACAAAAACACTAGCGTTGAGTGCAATGAAATGCCAATTTCTGGGTGAGCCCTGGTGGCTCCCTGAAGCTACCATCTCTGATGTAAGTGCCATCTACTAGGTGCCGTAAGTTGCACAGTTTTCTGGCCTAACCCAGCACCAGAACCTGCTCCCCTCACAGAGGTGCAGGAAGCCATGTTATTTATATATTAAGTTACTTATTTATGACACCAATGAGGAAGGCATCCAAAAAGTCAGTGAAAGAAAAGAAACCACAGCTGGGTGCCTTCAAGACCTGCAGACACAAAAACGGCCACAGAACTTTCCAAACTATATAACAAATGATCGAAAATGTTATAAAACTATCGCTCACTTATTTGCCCCACCCCAAGACAAGAAGGTATGGCAGGATGTGCCGAATACCTCCGCTGAAATGCAGAGGCGCAACAGGTACGCTAAGGGAGAACTATCAACATCAGAAGCTGAGACTGTTCAACACGCTTCAACTACACATACGGGGCATAACTGGCCGACCACTCGCAGTGTTCAAGAGAGAACTTGATAAACACCTCCAAAGGATACCTGATCAACCAGGCTGTGATTCATATGTCAGGCTGCGAGCATCCACGTCCAACAGCCTGGGTGACCAGTCCAGTAAGCAGGAAGCCTAGTCGAGGACTGGGCTGTGGAGACTCTTAAGCCCTGAAATCATCGCAAGGAAAGGTAACCCTTTCCCCTCAATTCGGGGGAGGAGGAGGCAGGCCACAGTTCACAGGCCTCTTCACCATCAGTTCAATAAATAATGCAAGAAATCCAACTCCCTAGGGAAGGCAGGGTGCCAGGGAGCCACCAGGGCTCACCTACAAATTGCCGTTTCATTACACTCATTGTTGGTTTTCTGGGAAGGAGCCCCTTGTGGCTCCCTGAAACTAATTACCCCATGGAGAAGGAAGAACCAGGCACTTACCAGGAAAGAGAGAGCACTGCAGGCATCATAACAAAGAAGACAGTCAGCCAAGAAAGCCAACCCAAGGCCACACAGGGGCGCTGAGATCTGGAACACTAACCAGATACATGGCCACCAAAAACCTTGTTCGACCTCCAGAACCCCCCGCACCCTAATATCAGCCCAGGACATATTAGCAAAAACAGCCGAAAGAGCGGCATATTTAAGAATGTCATGGGCATGAGGGTAGACCGCAGGCTGGCTAGACCTAATGACACTGTGAACGATCTGAGAAAGACATGCCTTGGAACAGGGGACCAAGGAAACAGGATCAACCCACAAGGCATCCATTGAAGCAGAAGAGGTGGTACAAAGGTAGCGACAGAGTAGCCTCCGGACACAAAACATAATAACATTTTCAATCCTTTCTTTACAGTGTGGCGAGTTCTGTGGCCATTTTTGTGTCTGCAGGTCTTGGAGGCACATAGCTGTGTTTTTTCTCTCATTGACTTCCAATGCTTTCCTCGGTGGTGGCATAAATGAATATCTTAATATATAAATGCCACAGCTCCCTGTACCTCTGAGGCGACCAGCTTCCGGTGCTGGGGTCCCCAGTAGGCCAGAAAACTTGGCAACTGATGGCACCTACACTAGAGACGGTAGCTTCAGGAAGCCACAAGGGGCTCTACCTCCCAGAAAATCTATTAAAAAGCTACATAAAAGTGAGAAGCTTTATCAATAACCAAGAAGGAGAAGTAAGCTAAAAAGAGAAATCAAATAAATACAAGTGTGTCACGCTAAAGTAATACAACGGAACAAAGGAGCACGGCATTATAAATTGATAACAGCCAATGGTAAGCAAGCAGTGTTGTGTATAGGCGTGAAGGATCATGAAGGGAACATTAAGTCAGTAAACACCATAAGAAGAAAGACAACAATAGCCATATTTATGAGAGCAGCCGGGAGAGGAAGGAGAACCTTGCTCTAAACCCTCACATTGCTTCCATTCTCTACATATTATCACCTCAACTGCATTATATTTTCACTATTTCATAACAATGAGAAAAATTAACCAATCAGTTTATATACAAAGAACAGAAAAACTTACTTATAGAACTTAAGTTTCAAATCATCCACTTCTTCGGTATCAAAGAATTTTGTACTAATCTTCTTGGAGATAATCTGTGTACGTACAAAATCCTTCTTCAATAAGCACAAGCGCATCTGCTCCAGTATCATTTCAACCTGGTGGTTAAAGCGGTCAATTTAACCTCAAATCCTAATTAAGGTAAATTACAGGTGTTAATTTTTAAACCACTCTAGCATTACATTTATTTTTAGACCACAAGACAAGAAGGCAGCGCATAAGGAGCTAGAGATTCATGCTTTAGGAAGAGCCACCCGCCAAACACACACCGAAACTACGACGTTGGTACAACGTTTGAACAAGTTTTAACACCTAACCAATTATAACAACCAATATAGCAAGTTGTAACAACATTCTAATACATCATAAACACGTTAAGCCAAGATGTAACAACTTTATTACAAGTTGTAGCAAGCGGAAAATAGAAACATTTTCGGTTTGTGTTTTCAGGGTAGATACACAAGCTCTCCTTGTTTCTCTACACTGTTTTCTACTTTCACCTTAAAATAGTGTCCACCTGCAGCACCACAAAAATAATAAAACATACAAAGAAAAAATACCTTGCATATATAAACATTGCAAATGTCTAAATGTAAACAATTGTAACAAACTTGTAACTAATTTGTTTCCAATATTTGCAGGTGTATGCTGATTTAGTAAGCACTGAAAACTCTCCATTTAAAAACCTTTATCACCAAATTTTAACTTTATTTCAATTGAACTATTATGTAAGTCTTCTTTATAAAGACATTGATAATAACACATTCGCCCGGGCATGACGCAATGCTGCGTTATCCGTTTACTGTCGGTAATCACGGGCATAACGCAATGCTGTGTCATCCACTAAAATAATCGCCAAAAATCAGGTTTTTATCCGATTTCTTGGGGACTGTTTGGTAACTGTCAACAAGCCGAATGCAATCTGTGACTACAATACAAACATGAAAGGTGTTGATTACTTTGACCAAATGATCAAATATTATCACTTCATAAGGAAAACTCACAAATGGACGAAGAAAATGACCATCTATTTTGTGCAAATGGCTATCTACAATGCTTATGTGATGTACAACTACTACACAAAAAATACTAATCTATAATACTAAATATACTAAAATACTAAATACTAAACATTTGTGGGCAGGAATTGGGAGTGTAGCTGGAAGGCGTCTGGGCGTTCACTCGCGGCTAACGCATGGCCCGTCTTCAACTAGTCAGCGGTTGGAGCGTGACCAGGTTTTTTATTTTATATGCTAATATTCCTCTAGAGAATTCTATTGCGAACCCATTGATACTAAAATGAAAGACCTAGGACAAAAATTGAGGTGACCAGAGTGAAAAGAGTGAACACATTATATCGCTTTTGTGCGCTCTTGGATGACTCGTTCGCACTTTCTCTGTTTGCTGCGGGTAATTAGCCGGACTTTTGGAGTTTATATGCATTTAGTGCTGTAGAGAATTCTATTGCGAACACAATGATACCAAATTTAATCTCGTAGGACAAGAATTGAGGTGACAAAGTTGAAGAGAGTATACACTTTCCAGAATTAACGCGCGCTCCCGTGAAACGCTGGGACCCAAATTGCACAGTTGAGGGGTGGCGTGCTGGGTACGCCAAAGTGTTAATTACTTTAAATAATTAACAAGGAATGAAACTGATGAAAGGGAGGATTAAAAGCCAGCACTGACTATAATGAAATGCTATTTTATGTGGAGGAATGTGGATAAGGTTGGCCCTCCGTGGCTTCCTGTAGTTACTTGCATTGAGATAGCTCAACACCTGTAAGTCTCCTCAGCCCTTGCAAGTCCTTAAAGGCCTACCGAAGACCAAAGACAAATGTATTACAATGCAGAAAATGATGTGGCAAACTATCCAGGCATCAGAGGATCTAGAGAGCCACAGAGCCTTTACCCCATCAGAAAGAGACATTTTATTACATTCAATGTTGGTTGGTGGGGCCAAATGGTGGATCCCTGTAGCTAACCACAAAAATGAGGAAAATTGGAATTCATCATGGGAGGAAACCATAGTTCAAATACCTAAAGTAAAGAGGCCAGAATGAGAAACTAATTAGAACAGCATAGACAGTATGAATAACCACTGGTATATATAAAAGCCAAAGGAAACCCCTTGAACTTGCAACTAGTGAGTGCAGGCTTGGTGGGTGAATCAAAGACGATCCACACCCAAGGTCCACGAGGCTTACCAGGACCTGGAGATAAAGGCCAAGCAGGACACGCAGGCACTAGGGACACACACTGGTTGATACCTGGTTGATACCTGGTTGATGGGGTTCTGGGAGTTCTTCTACTCCCCAAGCCCGGCCCGAGGCCAGGCTTGACTTGTGAGAGTTTGGTCCACCAGGCTGTTGCTTGGAGCGGCCCGCAGGCCAGGCTTGACTTGTGAGAGTTTGGTCCACCAGGCTGTTGCTTGGAGCGGCCCGCAGGCCCACATACCCACCACAGCCCGGTTGGTCCGGCACTCCTTGGAGGAATAAATCTAGTTTCCTCTTGAAAATGTCCACGGTTGTTCCGGCAATATTTCTTATGCTTGCTGGGAGGACGTTGAACAACCGCGGACCCCTGATGTTTATACTGGATGATATATATACACTGGATGATCAAACACTAAATGCAGCACAAAAGAAATACGTGGCTACGAAGGATGTCAAAAGTGTGCCATATGTACAAGAACATGAACCATAGTGAACTAGTGGACTGCTTATCAATAAAGCCAAACCTCAGAGCCTCATAGATGAGTCAAAGACCCATGGACAACTAAGGGTGACACACTTCAACAATATCAAAAGAATCAACAGAAATTATGAGAGGGCAAGAGAGAAAAAGAAAAGAAAATGGGTACAATATAGAAAGAAGCTTAACCCTCAAACATACAAGCATTACAAGCAAGAAACAAATACAGTACACAGCAGTGAGGAGAGGCAGAAAAGGACTTTGAGAAAAGGGTAGCAGACAAATGTAAAACAGATCCAGGCCTTTTCTATAAATTCATTAAAAGCAAACTGCACGTAAAGGATAAAATCCTGAAATTGAGAATGGGAACAGATTCACAGAGCGGCAGGAGATACCTTGATACAGGTTACATTGAGGTTATCTTGAGATGATTTCGGGGCTTAGTGTCCCCGCGGCCCGGTCCTCGACCAGGCCTCCACCCCCAGGAAGCAGCCCGTGACAGCTGACTAACACCCAGGTACCTATTTACTGCTAGGTAACAGGGGCATAGGGTGAAAGAAACTCTGCCCATTGTTTCTCGCCGGTGCCCGGGATCGAACCTGGGACCACAGGATCACGTGTCCAGTGTTCTGTCCGCTCAGCCCCTGGCACAGCCACAGGTGAACACAGCAGGCAGAGAATACACAGTATGGTAAACAAAAGGTCAAACAAATCAGGCCTACACAAGAATAAACAAACAATAAAAAGCATAGGGTCTAATGCTTGACAAGAAACAACAGAAGAGGTTCAAACTGCACAAACCAAACACAAAAACGAACTTGGAAACAAGGCAAAATAAGGAGTATGCCAAGCCAATTATCCACTGCCAACACCAACATAATGGAGAGTCTTCAGAGAAACCTGAAACTTAGTTGAAGAAAAACCCAGGTCAAACCCAATGACCATAACTACAAGACAAGGTGAACAATGTGAGATAAGAACGAAAAGCAAGATCCACTCTGGACTAACAACAGTGGCTCTGAAAGCAGCATTCTATAGAAAGCAATAACACTAAGACCGAGATACACAATGGCAAACATAGAAGCCACCACGGTACTGAACCCTGGAAAGCCAGAGGAGAAAAGCTCCAAAATAAGTGACCACGAGGCACCATCAAATCCCCAAGCCAGTAACGCTGCTGACCAGACACACTGCCTCAGGTTATCTTGAGTTATCTTGAGATGATTTCGGGGCTTTTTAGTGTCCCCGCGGCCCGGTCCTCGACCAGGCCTCCACCCCCAGGAAGCAGCCCGTGACAGCTGACTAACACCCAGGTACCTATTTTACTGCTAGGTAACAGGGGCATAGGGTGAAAGAAACTCTGCCCATTGTTTCTCGCCGGCGCCCGGGATCGAACCCGACCACAGGATCACAAGTCCAGCGTGCTGTCCGCTCGGCCGACCGGCTCCCACAGGGCCTTTAGCCCTGTGAGGATAATGAGTACAACAATGGTTGGAGCAGTGTCTTGTTGCCATTGTGCTCTTTACTGAATTTTATTCAACCCCATTTAATATCAGTTTTCAGACAAGGTCATTATCATTGTATCTTATTGAAAGACAAATCTCAACGGACCAGAAATGTCCAAAAATATAATTTTATGGGTACCTTATCAACAATCTATGTACAGTGGGAAAAGAACTAAATGAACATAAGCACAAACTATAACAATCCCTCAATTCTAAAAAACACAAAGGAAGGGAAACAAAAGCAGAGTTAAATGTTAAATTACAAGATCAGGAAAAGGCAACATCAAAAGCAACACAGCCAAACAGAATCAATACAAAAAAATACAGAAAATAGCAGACCAGAAAATGTGACAAAGAAATCAAGTATAGACAATAACAGAACATTAAATCTAACAACTACTATAAAGACAAATTAAAATATTGATAGGAAAGTATGCAAATATTGTAACAATGCCATTACGCTATTAACAAAGATGTGTATTATATATATATATATATATATATATATCTATATGCAATTGACGATCACAAAACGCTGATCATTTTATGCGGAAAATCCACAGAGAATTTCATATTTCTCTGTGGATTTTCCGCATATATCTATATATCTTCCTTCTGAAGATGTATTAATATACGAAAGCACTTTAGGAAATTCCTGTTTCAATTTTCCTCCGTGGACTGACACTGTCACATTTTTAATCACGTGTTTATTTTTTGTGATTTACATACATACATACATACATACATACATACATACATACATGCATGCATACATACATACATACATATAATTATTCCACAAAGCAATGTGTCCAAGTCCTCACTAGATTTTCTTGAGAATAGTACTCAACACCAGAATGATGTGCAAGTGTACGCTGCACCTGCAGCATATTGTTATTATCATATTTTTTTCAATCTTTCAAATTTTATGTCTGATTTATTACATCTTTTCCTAATGTAGTCTTAATTATTACAGCTCCAATATTAAGAAGCGTGATGAATATTAAGACATTTTTATGATAGAGAGAGAGAGGATCTTACCTTTTCTTTACGTTCCATTGAACCAAAGGTTTCAACTTGTAGTTCCTGTAGGATGGTAGCAGCCTCAGTAATGTCTCCCTCAGTTTCCTTCATCATGGCCAACTTGTGCGTGAGCCGTGCACGCTCAACCTCCACATAAATCTTGCCAGCAGTCACTGTCCTGTTAACAATTGAGTTTTAACTTTAGAAGTGTTGCCAGTATTGATACTGCCATGATAACTGATACTCCAGTAATGTACAGTACTGTACTATTTAAAGATCAAAACTCTACTAAATGTTTTGAATAGGTGTTAGAAATTAAGATGAAATGCTCCTCGTGATCTCTAGATTTGTAGATGACAACAGTGAATTGGTAACATTCAATAATTATGAGAAACTTCATAGGAGCAGTGATGAGGGTTTGAACCTATGCAGTGGATGTTCCCACTCACACCTGGAATGCTTCTGAACACACAAAGATTTTCCGAGGCTTCTACTGAAGCCAGAACAGGATTTTCACACAATCCCCCCACCCCCATGTACTCTGGCTCTGTCATCCAAGACTTGTTCTATGTCTGACGGCAGATAGTGCACGGAGCGACTGTGTGAAAATCCTGTACCGGCTTCAGTCGGAGCCTCAGGAAATCCTTGTGTGTTCAGTAGAACTCCAGGTTGCAATCCTTATACTGTACCATGTCGTGGTCTAGTAGCTAGAGCTTCTGTGTGGGAACATTCATCGCACAGGTTCAAACCCTCATCACTGCTCCTACGGATTTCCTCATTGATGCAGTTACATTAGAGTGATTACTCTCTCTACTCAATAATGATAATAATAAGCATATACCTAACAATTCCTGCAGAGTCCACTAAATGAAACTGTTAAATGATCTTCCCACCAGTGATTATCATTAGTAACACTCATAAAAATCCATAGTTATTTTGCAAGTCTTGGAGTAGTTCAGAGAATGATGCCTTACATTCCCATCAGGTCGAGTTTAAAACTTTCAATAGAACCTTCTAAAATAGTATATTAGAAGAATTTCAAACCTCCACGCAGAGAACAAAACATGCTACAACACATTTAAGACATTCGAGCATGGAGGGACTTACGATTTTACGATTAAACTTCAGTCATTCGGGCTGATCTGAATGGTCCTAAGTATTTCCATAGCACCACCATTACCTTCCACAGATGTTTGAAAAGTTTCTTGTGTTACTGGTGCCAGAATGTTGACCTGATCTGACTCAATAATCCTATCCACCATACATAACATATCTTGATTAACAACCAATTGAGATAACTCAGATAAAATGTTGGCAATTCATAGTTTTTGGCAGCAATAAAACCAGCATTGAATGTAATGAACCACCAGGTTTTGGGTGAGCCCTGGAGGCTCCTGAAGCTATCTTACTGATCAAGTACCATACTTCTTGTGTTTCATCAGTCGCAGAGTTCTTGTTTGCCTACCAGAGACCACAAGTCAGAACCTGGCCCCCTCAGAGAGGCACAGGGAGCAATGTACCTTCAACACTTTACATATAAAGTTTGTCATCTTGCCATCGACCAGGGAAAGCACCCAGAAAGGTAGGGTGCTACTGTCTGGTCGAGCAATGCAACCTACGCCCTCAAAGTATCCAAAGAACTTTCCCCCACAAAGAAAACAAACCAGCAAAACTTTGTCTAGACTTTGGCGTAGACCACATTGTTCAACCAGGCAGTAGTCAGTTTTGATTCGCCTACTTTTCTGGGTGCCTTCCCTGGTCAATGGCAAACTTTACATTTAAGGTTTTCACGGGCTCTTGTTTCCTACGCCTCTCTGAGGGAGCCAGGTTCTGGCTCATGGACCCCAGTAGGCATTCAATAACTCTGCTACTGATGACACTCGAGTAGTATAGCATTTGACCAGAAAGATAGCATCAGGGAGCCGACAGGGCTCCCCACAGAAAAATACAAAATGGTAAAACATCAAGTTTTTTAAAAATTACGTCTAATAATAATTAGTGTTGATGCGATTTAGTTTAGGTGCAACAAACCTTAATGTATCCATCAATTTCAGCTTAGATTCTTTGTCAGGAGTCTTGTCCACATATTCACAGCACTTCTGAACCATCTTCGTTACAGCCATCTTGATTTGGGAACGCTTCTTGGTAAGCGTCACTACAGTTTCATTCAACAGATTCCATTCTCCAGCTTCATAGCAAATCTCCACAACAGCAACAAGAACTCTACTTGTGGAATGTGCATCAGCTCCCTAAAGAAAATATTGAAAATTAACATTTTTGGGTCAGGGTGGTTGAACATAATTTATTCTGCAAATACTAATTTCATTGTACCAGTATTCCTCCAGAACAACGTAATATTGCTCAGGACCCTATCCAAGTTTACATGAAACCTGGTTTTCCATAATTTTCCTTTGATGGGGAGTCAGAAGTGTGACTCTGTTGCTAGCAGCACTGAGATAGCTCCACATCACATCACATCATAAGCCACATCAGCCATTGTGAGTCATTAACACTTTCGCTCACCCCGCACGCCACCCCTCAATAGTGCGATATGGGACCCAGGGTGTCACGGGAGCGCGCGTAAATTCTGAAAAGTGTATACTCTTTTCAACTTTGTCACCTTAATTCTCGTCCTACGAGATTAAATTTAGTATCATTGTGTTCGCAATAGAATTCTCTACAGCACTAAATGCATATAAACTCCAATAGCCCGGCTAATTACCCGCAGCAAACAGAGAAAGTGCGAACGAGTTACCCCAGGAGTGCGCAAACGCGATAAAATGTTTTCACTATTTTCACTCTGGTCACCTCAATTTCTGTCCTAGGTCTTTCATTTTGGTCTCAATGGGTTCGCAATAGAATTCTCTAGAGGAACATTAGCATATAAAATATAAAACCTGGTCACGCTCCAACCGCCGACGAGTTGAAGACGGGCCACACGTTAGCCGGGAGTGAGTGCTCAGACGCCTTCCACCTACACTCCCAATTCCCTCCCTTTTCAAGCCTTTCTTTCGCAATTTTCTTCCTGGAAGGGCCTTGTTCATGATCACTATCCATCGTGGAGTAAGGGTAGATAGTTTCTAAAGCCGCAGTAAGAAATATAGCCACGGAAAATAGCCGAAATGTTCACACGTTTGAGATGCGAGGGGAGGCGACATTGGTCACAACAGTGGAGCGAAAACAATGGGCCCACGGCGTGTGCCAAGCCACCTGAGGGCCACGAGGCTCAACAAAGAAAATGGGAAGACATCGGCGCACATTTTAAAACTAGTCCCAAAAAAATCGGATAAAAACCTGATTTTTGGCGATTATTTAAAGTGGATGACGCAATGCTGCGTCATCCCCGGTATTACCGCCAGTAAACGGATGACGCAATGCTGCGTCATGCCCGGGCGAAAGTGTTAAAAGACTATCAAGTACCAGAGGCTAAAATCTGCCCCCCCCCCCCAACCCCACCAAACACACACCCACCTCAGACGTGCAGAGAGCAGGTGATTCATGATCACCCTCACTGAAGAATCAAACCCCCAGAATGTAAGCAAAGCGAAACTGCCAACCTTTTCTGGATTTAAGTGAGAGACTTTCTCGAGATTTAAGAAAGCAAACAATGTAGCAAATTACTTTGCAAACTATCAACCCAGTAATTAGGTCATACCCTCTGCATCCCACCAGGTGGCAGCACACTGGAGTTGCCGGCTCTGTCTGTGTCAACAATCAGGAGTCATTTGCCCGATGTCAGATTTGTCTGACCACTTCAAGTCTCCAGCTCTACAGATCTCAGATTGTCTAGATAAGCGTTGGCCATCCTTTGGACTCTGTCCTATGGGGGTATATTTGCTCGTTTATTATTCCATTTTTTTAATATTTGTTTCACAATTGTGAGTTAACAAGCCTCATTTGTTGTGTGGGACTTGGAAAACTGTTCGTTTTGAGCTGCATGTGCTTAGGGCTGCCCTTCCCTAGATGCTTGCTGGTGTTGCCTATGCCCTGACAAGGTTACTAACCTGATGGGTTCAGGTGTTTGACCAGACTCCTGTGGGAGATGCCTCACCTTAAGCAGTGCAGAGGTCTTTTTGGCTTCTCTGTAAGGTTCTAAGGTTGGAGGGCATTCTGGGGTTTTATTGATTAAGGAATGAACTAGAGTTCACATGCTTGCACATACAAAATTTTGCCGATGTTTTTTGCACCGACGTTTTTCCATGGTGGGATGAACAATGTTAGCGGCTTCCATGGTGGTGTTTTCCATAGATATTTTCAAGAATAGCTGAATCTCTTCCAGAATAACTGAATCTCTTCCAGACTGATTGACACTCTTCGACAATGAATGAATCTCTTTCAGTCAGGCACCTTACAAATTGATCTTTTCCTATAATCTTTTCAAGACTACCTTACGCTTTACAAGCTTGGTTACATACAACCTACAAGTACTAAAGCCAAGGGTGTACGTGAGTGCATTATTTGCAAGCACACAGAACGAAGAACCAGGAAGCGAAAATCTATTTGTACCTGGTGCAACGAGAGCGACGTCGCGCTGTGTACCATGGACTACTTCGTTGATTATTACTCACTTCTGAAGTACCGAGAGTGTGTAATACAGTGAGTTACTGTGTAAATAGTGTGTGAAACTGTACATATTGTAATTTTAGTGAATTTTTAACAAGTAATATTGCAACAATAAACATTTATTGTGGACACATTACTGACACATGTATCACAGTTCCATGGAACATTATGAATGCTCTATTGTATACATATTGTAAAGGACACAAATATGAATCATATATGATAAAAAAAAAAAATAAAACTGCATTGAAAATACATAAAACAAATAATTGAAAATATATTTGTGGCAACTTGCAGTGCATGAATGGCCTGCGCGACCGCCTCTGGGAGCTTCACGCACGAACGACCAGCCCGTGATGACGTCACAGCATGCCTTGTCCACGTCCACACAGCCAAAGTATGTGGAATTTGGTATTTATTTTTACATAGACATGTTCAGGGAAGGGAATTTATCCTTTTACAAAGAAAAAAGAATTTTTTGGGAACACTTGATTTCATGTACACAGGGGGGAATGTCACAATAAACTCGGTGCATCACAGTGGTTATAGATAGATTTGGACACTGACTGATTAGGGCAAACTCGATCAAATTCCGTTCCACGAAACCGCTGCAATTGGTAATGCTTTTCGCACCTCCTCAACTAAGAGTGTGATCACACAAACCTGTGTGTAGATACAATGCACTAAACGTTTAGGCAGTTCTAATACTATAAGCATGTTGGGAAAAACGCCATTGTAAAGATTTTCCAGTTTGTCCGAGGTACACAGATTTCACAATCATTGCAGGGAATTGAATACACACAACCTGCTGCAGCAGGGAAATTTTGTATTACAGTAAATTAAACTTGATCGTACTATTGTTGAACACCAAATTGATATTAAGGTTCATAAAAACCAGGAAAATTTTTCAAGTCCTACCGCATAAGGTACCGCCAATTAGTTTCTAATTTCTGTTTTAGCTTTGGGGATATGATTATATGACATGATAGATATCTATCATCAAGTACCATAGAAAACCAGCACTGAACGTAATGAAACACCATTTTCTGGACGAGACCTGGATGCTCCAGCAGATATACATATCAGCCTGGATAGGAGCAATCATTAGACTTTGGCAGTGTGAATGGAGTTCTATGAATACCAGGGACCATGAGCCAGAACCTGCCGGAAGGACCGCCAGGAAACTTCATACTGCCGCCAAGACGAAGAAGAGGTACAGGAACCCCCACCTTGACCTGTCCTGCCACAGTGCATCGACCCCGACAGCCTCGCAGTCAGGGAAGGGCGCCACATATACTGGAAGACGCCTCGACCATGCCGACGCAAAGAGGTTCACCTTTGGGCGCCCGAATGTCTGGCAGAGCCAACTGAATGAGTCAGCATCGAGCGTCCATTCCATGGACAGGGAAATGAACCAGGACAGGCTGTCCGCCAGGACGTTGAATACCCCCCGGACGTGAACGGCCAGGAGAGCTAAACCCTGAGAACTCAGCAGACGAGTCACCCTAAGCGGGTGACTCGTCCCAAGTCCCAAAGAACCAAGGACCGCATCGAACACCCACGGTTCAGGCAATGAACCACCGGGGAGCAGTCCGAATGGAGCCGGATCGTTGATCCACGGGCGACCCGAACCCTCCGAAGTGAAAACCACACCTCCGCGAACTCCTGCACCATGCTGTGGGCACGACAGAAAGACAAACCCCCACCGCCTCTGGCCGGCCTGGTGAGCACTGGTCCCAAAGCTCCAGCCGAGTGACAACGCATCCATGAACACATCGAGTGAGGGGGCTCGGGTAGGCGCCAAGGCACTGAACCCCGAAAAACCCGAAGAGGAAGCCAGCGATGCAGCAGCTGACACAAGGCCCCCCTGGGGGTTGAACCCAGCGATTGCGAGAGAGGCAGAAGGGATGTCCCTGAAGGAACCATAACAGCCGAAGAAGCCAAACCTGACTCCCGTGGGTATATCATCATCGCAAAGTTCAGGCTCCCGCACAGACCCTCGAGCAACTGCTGCATGACCAGGGAGGCTCCCTTCCCCTCAAAAAAAAAAAAAAAAAACATGTGGGACTACAGCCGAAGGAGAGACAAGGAAGCGGTCCGTGAGTCCCACACAAAACCCAGCCAAGTCTGAACCTGGGAGGGGACAGGACTTCCACCAGTTCACCAGGAACCCGAACAGGGCAAGTTGAGAAAGAACTAAATCCCTGGCGAACAGACACGCGGACCGACTGGGAACCCACACCAGCCGGTCGTCGAGATAGGCCAACACCCGAACACCTAAAAGATGCAGACGGGCCACCACGACCTGGGTGAGGCGTGTAAACACGCGAGGAGCCAGGTTCAACCCGAATGGGAGCTAATGAAAGCGTTAACCAAGATGCCCCACAACAAAACTGAGCCAGTCCCTGAACCCCGGATGAATCGGGACGTGCCAATATGCATCCCGGAGGTCCAGGGGACACCATCCAAGAGCCCGGCTCCAACAGAAGTCAGACCTGGGACAGAGTGGTCATTCGAAAGAAGGGGCAAAAAACCCAGGAGTTCAGACAGGACAAATCCAGAATGAACCGCAGGTCTGCACAGTCCCGTTTCGGTACTGGAAACAGGTGGGGAAACCCACCTGAGAGACGTCGTTTTGACCACACCTAACTGCACCCACACCAAGATGACCCGACAGAGCGCAGGAGAAGAGGCCTGCCCCGAACCCCTCGAAGGAGAAGAGGCCTGCCCCAAACCCCTTGAAGGAGGAGCGGCCACCCCAACACCACCGCAGGTCATGGGAAACGACCCAAAAAGCCTACAAATTGTGAGACCAGGGTTGAGTGAACAGAGCAAGCCTCTCCCCCCATCCCCATCAATGGGGCGAACTGCAAAAGGGACAACGTTCCTTACGAGAACCTGACCTGCGCACAGAGCGATCACCGCGCCGACCAAACACAGACGGTACCGAAGGCAGCGCCGGCTCCGAACCTGGCACCTGTGGCCTACCCCGACGAGCGCAACCCCAAGCCCTGGCACGACCCTTCCGGGAGGAACCTATCTTGAGTATCTTGAGATGATTTCGGGGCTTTAGTGTCCCCGCGGCCCGGTCCTCGACCAGGCCTCCACCCCCAGGAAGCAGCCCGTGACAGCTGACTAACACCCAGGTACCTATTTTACTGCTAGGTAACAGGGGCATAAGGTGAAAGAAACTCTGCCCATTGTTTCTCGCCGGCGCCCAGGATCGAACCCGGGACCACAGCATCACAAGTCCAGTTTGCTGTCCGCTCGGTCGACCAGCTGCCCTGCCACAATCAATCATGGAACCTCCATCCCACAATCACATCAGCCGAGAACTGAAGAGTGGATCGCCACTGGGGCTCCCCCTTCCCCCCTCTCAGGGTGGGGGGAGCTGCGCAGACATGCGGCGCTGCTTGTGTGACGTCATGCTCGCTTACCCATTTTCATTTGGGGAGTTCCGTCCACTCATTTGTCTATTTTAGTCCTTTTAATCAGAATAAGGGTTTATTTTGAGACGCTTACCTTTCTGGGTGCCTGGCCCGGTCGATGGCAGACAGAATGCTCCAAATCTCATTTGCATTTCTATAGGCCATTGCTCCTCGTGCCTCTCTGAGGGGGCTAGGTTCTGACTCATGGTCTCCGGTAGGCCTAGAACTCCATTCACATTGAATGATGCCAAAAGTCTAATGATATACATATCAACCTGGATAGCTCCGGGGAGCCAAAGGGGCTCCCCCAGAAAAATTTATGATTGTCATACAACTATTGATGGGTTGCAACAAATTATTATTCAATATTTTAATATTATACTGTATTTAGTAATTACTCTAGGGATATTCTACTGCACTATAAAACTGGAGTCCAGTATACGGATAAAGATGCTTTTAGCACTAACCGTTCGTGTCTGTTTCTCCAGCACCATCAAGCTGTCCACTGCCTCTTGAACGCGACCATCCTTGGCCATCTGTTGGGCTGCTGGGATTTTTTCATCACACGTGGTTGAGTAATCCACTTCCATTTTGACAAGTCTTCCACCTTCGGTAATAACATTGCCCAAAGTGCCATCTTCAGCGTTTGCTTCTGCAGGCTTCTTGTCTGCAGGCGTCTTGTCTGCAGGCTTCTTGTCTGCTGGCTTCTTGTCTGCAGCCTTCTTGTCTGCAGGTTTCTTGTCTGCTGGCTTCTTATCTGCAGGCTTCTTGTCTGCTGGCTTTTTTTCAGAAGACGACATATTGGCTGAAATAAAAGGGAAATCTAGAAATTTACAATCTTTAGGTAAAATAAGGCATACAGTATTAGAACAATTCTTAATTTTTACAAGTAGTACATATTCAAATCAAATTAAATTCACTTGGTTTTTTCTAAAAACCAATATATATGTCCAAGATAATGATTTCCCCTACACTACATTCGAGGAGACTATCATGGAGAGCAATTGCAAAATACCTCCTGGAGGGAGTTGATGCTTCGAGGTCTTGTTCTATTATGGGAAAAATTTCACAAAGGTCATCACTGAACTTGTTTTAAGTTGTGCCGAGGAGGAGAGGAAAATGAAAGAGAAGTAAACGGATGACAAAGGCCGAGCCAGTCGGCCGAGCGGACAGTACACTAGACTTGTGATCCTGTGGTTCCGGGTTCGATCCCGAGCGTTGGCGAGAAACAATGGGCAGAGTTTCTTTCACCCTATGCCCCTGTTACCTAGCAGTAAAATAGGTACCTGGGTGTTAGTCAGCTGTCACGGGCTGCTTCCTGGGGGTGGAGGCCTGGTCAATGGTCAAGGACCGGGCCGCGGGGACACTAAAGCCCCCGAAATCATCTCAAGATAACCTCAAGAAAGGCATACAAATGCTCTAACAACTAAGCACATCATCTGGAAGTGTCAGTTCATCAGGAATCATATAGATTACGAGATATATAAAAGCACATTAAATTCAGCTACCCCGGAAGATCAGAAAAGTCACAAGAAACTATGAAAGAAAGCTCAAATAAGAAGTAAAACCAAGATAAAATGTTTCAGTATTACCCTTGGAAGAGCAGACCAACCAAGTTATAAATGATAAAAAGACAGCCATCTTTGTAAAATAGTATACATCAGTATGAGGTGGTGTGTTGATGGTGGTAGCAAAGTGTTGCTATTCTATGAAAAGTGTAGGGGTTTAGTCAAGTGTCTGACTTAGAGAATTGAAGTGTGTTTGGGAGTTAATCGCAAATCAGAAAAGTCAGGGTAGGTTTAGTTACGTAAAGTAACGTGAGGTTAGGTTGTACAAGGTTAGTTTAAGTTGGGGTAGGTACCTGGAGCATACCTGGAGAAGATTCTGCGAGTTCACCTACTCCCCGAGTCTGGCTCAACTTGGTCCATCAGTGAAAATAAGCCCAAATCACCTCCTAAAATTCATAAGAGTCCTAAGCCTGTGATGAATATTTTTGTTTCTTCCACTGATCTCTCTCTCTCTTCAATAGACACTTGTACTCCGGAACAGTCCAACAGGCTGTTGCTTAGAGTGGCCCGCAGGTGCAGATATCCACCAATCTGGTTGGTCCGGCACTTCTTGCAAGAACTTATCTAAGTGTCTATTGAACACATCCACCTTTGTTCCAGCAATATTTCTAATGCTTGCTGAGAGGGTGTTGAACAGCTGTGGACCTCTGATGTTCAGAAAGTGTTCTCTGATTGTGCCTATGGCACCTCTACTCTTCACTTTTTCTATTCTACATTTCCTTCCACATCTTTCACTCCAGTATGTCATTATTCTACTGTGCAAATTTGAGACTTGGCCTTCAAGTAACTTCCATGTATATATTATTTGATACCTTTCTCATCTCCTTTCTAGGGAGTACATTTGGAGAGCTTTGAGATGGTCCCAATAACTTATATGTTTTATCATGTCAATGCGTGCCGTATATGTTCTCTGTATTCCCTCTATTTCAGAGATCTCTCCCGCTCTGAAAGCGGAAGCGAGTACGAAGCAGTACTCAAGACAGGACAGCACCAGTGATTTAAAGAATGTTAGCATTGCTGTGGGGTCTCTGTATTTAAACATTCTTATAATCCATCCTATTATTTTCCTGGCTGCCGCTATATTTGCTCAGTTATGTTCACTAAACGTCAGATCGTCAGACATCATAACTCCCAGATCTTTTACATGTGACTTTCCTTCTATGAGTAGGTCTGATTGTGTCCTGTACCCTGTGTTTTGTTTAAGTTCCTCGTTTACACCATACCTCAGTACCTGGAACTTGTCAATGTTAAACATGTTATTTTCAGTTGCCCAATCAAAGACTTTATTAATATCTGCCTGTAGTTTTTCAGTGTCCTCTACACAGGAAACTTTCATGCTGATTTTTGTATCATCTGCCATGGATGACACGAAGGTTTGACTAGTATTTTTGTCTATATCCACAGATAAGAATGAAAAATGTTTTGCCTTTGCAAAGTCTTTGTATACAACATCTGCACTTTGCGTTTCTTCTAAAGCTTATATGATTTTGTCATAGTGGCTGAGTAACTGTGACAGACAGGATCTTCCTGCTCAAAATTCATGTTATCCTAGGTTGTGTAGTTCATTATTTTCCACAAAACTGTAAATTTAATTCCTAATCCCGCTTTCAAAAACTTTTATTTTGTGTGAGGGTAGTACAAACTGGTCTATAATTTTTTTTTCCAAAGCTTTACTCCCCCCTTGTGCAGAGGAGCTATATCTGCAGATTTAAGTGCTGCTGGTATTTCCCCTGTTCAGGCTCTTTCTCCATATTACACTGAGCACTCATGCTACTGGTACTTTACATTTCTTTATGAATAATGAATTCCATGAGTCAGGACCAGGAGGTTGAGTGCATAGGCATGTTGTCAATTTCTCTTCCAAAGTCTTCCGAGTTCTTGTTAATATCGGTTATAGTATCTGCAGCTTAGATGTTATTCATAAAGAAGCTGGCTGGATTAGTTTAAGATGTGTTATGTCAGGTTGTAACATCCCAGATCCTTACGTCTGGGATGTGAATGCATCAGTTGTCCTTGACGTGGCAGTAGTACAGCGTGTTGAATACCCATGAGTGGTTGAAGGATGTGTCGTGGGAGAGTGCAGAGCCGTCTTACCGCATGGGCCCGATGGACACTGGCCCAGGGCATCTGCCCAGGGGTGATGCCCCTGTTCACCTAGCAGTGGACCTCTAGTGAGGTCATTTATCTGGACACTCCCAGGAAGCAGCCCGTAGCAGCTGTCTAACTCCCAGGTATCTGTTTACTGCTAGGAGTGAACAGATGCATCAGGGTGAAAGAAACTCTGCCCATTTGTTTCCCCCTCCACGGGGGATCGAACCCGGAACCTCAGAACTATGAATACCGAGTGCTGTCCACTCAGCTGTCAGGCTCCTCAATAAAGAAACAAAGGCATAAAGAAACTAGAAGTGTAGATTCTTTATTATTTAAGCAACATTGCTTAGAGCAGGAATACTGGCATAGTGTTGACACGTAAAGTTTCTGTAACTCGCTGTCTTACAAATTACAAGAAATTAGAATCAGAGGTTTGCCATTTCGTGGTGAAAGTCAGATTATTGGGTCATCAAAAAATGGCAACTATTTAGGTATACTTGAGCTGCCTAGTGAATTTGACCCTTTCTTGCAAGAACATCACAAAATGTATGGAAAGCTTGAAAAAGGGAATCTGTCATATTTATCTGCAAATAGGGTACTAGTGAGGAATTTATTGAATTACTGTACTAGTATTTGCCAGCGTAAAACACGCACCATCGCCCAAGACGCACCCCTATTTTACAAGAATAATTTGTGGAAAAAAAAAAAAAAACTTTTGGTGTATTTCATCACACATTCATTGAAGCATATTTTAAAGTGGATTTTGTATCCCGACTCGTAGCTCCTCTCAGATACCTGTGAGTTACACAGCTGCTAGGGGCTGGTTCCTGGGGAGGGGGTGTAACAAACAGGAGGCCTTGGCCGCGGAGACGCTAAACTCCGAAATCATCTTAAGGCAACTTAAGATGACCTCCACTCCAGACATCTCTCACACAGATCAACCGACATTTACTGTCCGACATATTAAAGGCTGTGAGCCTGTGTAATGTTTCTTGATGTTCATCCCCATCTTTTCTCACGGAGCAAAGGATCTAACAGACACTGTTGTGGATTTTCTTAATGAGAACAAAATTCTACTATCAAACTGCCGTGGTCAGTCATACGATAATGTCTCAAATATATCTGGACGATATACTGGATTGTAAGCACAAATTCATCAACTCAATGAGTTTGCCATCTATGTCCCCTGTGCTAGACACAGCCTGAACTTGGTGTGCATAAGAGGAGCAATGTGTTGGCTACAGGCTGTCAAATTCTTTGACTTTGTTCAGCATCTCTATTCATTTTTTGCTGGTTCTAATCATCGCTGGAATGTATTGACATCATCTTTGAGAAAAGATTTTGTGATCAAGTGTCTCTAACACACGATGGTCAGCACATTTTGATGCTGTTCGTGCTCTGTAGGGGGGAGGGGGGGGTTGAGAAAATAAAACATGCACTGGATTCTCTATCAGCTGACAATGAATGCAAGTTCATTGACTACAAGGCGAGAGGCAGAAGGATTGAGCAAAAAATAAAAAATGGAAAACCTGGAAACTTTCTCAATGCTTTGGAATAACATGTTAGAAAGAATGAACGAAACAAACAAGATCTTACAATCAAAGGATGTGAACATCCTTGTTGCCACAAATCTTCTTGAGTCTATGAAAACCTGTCTTCAGGAAACTAAGAGACAAAGTCAATATGAATTACTGAATTAAGTCAATATGAATTCAAAACCAGGAGTGTGTGTCCAGATACAGATTACTGTGATGGAGAAAATGGAAATGAAGTGTGCATCTTAGTAGATATGATGGATCAGCAGAAGTTACTTCTTGAGGTTAACTTGAGATGATTTCGGGGCTTTTTAGTGTCCCCGTGGCCCGGTCCTCGACCAGGCCTCCACCCCCAGGAAGCAGCCCGTGACAGCTGACTAACACCCAGGTACCTATTTACTGCTAGGTAACAGGGGCATAGGGTGAAAGAAACTCTGCCCATTGTTTCTCGCCGGCTCCCAGGATCGAACCCGGGACCACAGGATTACAAGTCCAGTGTGCTGTCTGCTCGGCCAACCGGCTCCCTTGAATTATATATTATGAATAACCTCTATTATGATCTTTTAAATGAATGTGAGCATCTCAAGCACTCCATGGCTCTTGATGACAATTGTGACACTCCCTGCACCGTACAAAAAAATATTTTCGGGCAATTTGAAATCTGTCTTCTTGAATGTTGAAACTGCACTCGGTGTGTTCTTGTGCACGATGGTGACCAAATGTTCAGGAGAACGTTCTTTTTCAAGAGTGAAACTTATAACAAATCTGCTTCATAGCACAATGGGGCAGCACCATTTAAACTGGCTTTCATTCGTGCATGGAAAATGACATCCTGACGACCATTGACTTCAAGCCAACAACACTGTACTTCAATTCTCTGAAAAGAAATGCCGCAAATGCTTGTTATAATAAGAAGTTCGTAGTAATTTCATACTGTGCCATCTAATCTGTGTAGCTTACTGAGTATTATTGTGTTTTTCAAGCCTTGTGTATTGTTTAAATGTTTAGTCGCCTCTCTACAAAATGTTGTTTAATGTTTTAACACCAGTTTTCTTGAATTACCAATAAAATAAATATATATGTTTAATATTATCCACCATTTAATTTTTATTCCTGCGAGTGGTTGTCATAGGGGCCCACACTGGTGTGTGCCCTGGGGCCCACACTGCTGTTAAGACGGCCCTAGGAGCATGTTTTATAACCTGCCCGAAACGCTAAACGTGTTAGTGGCTTTACAATAATGTAAAAACATCCATATTATCTAAAAAAAACTAACTAAATGTGGTGTATGAGGTGGCCCCCGCTGGGAGGTCTCTCACCTTCACCTCATCACCATCACGCAACAAAACTCATACTCATACACCACCACTGGATACTCTTGAGTACCTGAAGAGTTGAACCTTGAGTGTGTGTAGAGTAGGTGTGAGCAGTGGCTGAGTTACCTGAGTGTGTGTGGCTCGTCCCTCACTCACTCACTCACTCAAGTCGGCGACTCACGTAAACAAACGACACAACTCTCACGCAAATCTTCGACTTGTAGATATATGTTACTTCTAATTTCTTATCTAGATAAATTTTTTGTTATTTTTTTATATATGTTTTATACTTAGTTAATAATAGGCACTATAAATGTTTAATTTGTACTATACAGTAACTATATTACTAATATGTTATAGAAAGTCAATAAAATGTCATATGCATATAATTCCGGATTACATTTGCACATTATCATTTAATACGCTATTGACAGGTAATGTTTTTACATACATAGTTGTATGAAAGATAGTTGCTTTAAAATAATTATTTTTTATGTAAAAATATTATCCATATGGTGTAGCAAGGTAGCCTTGCAACCTTCACTGCCTGAGCAGGGTCTATGAAGGTTGGCGGGAATTCAGGTATTTTTTAAAATACTGCCCAGGCTAAAAGCTACGGCCAACAAGGACTCCTGGTTCAACCTTCACAATGATTATGGGCTATTTATGCCTGTGCCACCTCTTGGGGGACTGAATCTCTATCAATCAGTTAATCTTGACAACAATCGACTTGAGAATGGTCCAGGACGGACCGAAACGTCGTCGTCCCTTCACCTTCTAGTGTGTGGTCTGGTCAAATCTTGACAACGCTCTGCCTGGGGGCCGCCGACTCACGTTCTGTTTTGCAGTTTTGGATTTTGATACTACCGTTTGGCGTTCCCATTCAACGGTCCGGATTGTTACGACGCCTGGCGCATATATCGTCTTGGGGTCACGGGGTATTTAATAGATTTTGAACGTTTCCTGGTTGGTTCTTCGGGCGGGGTGAAGGTGTCCGGCGCCGGCTTTGCCGAGAGGTGCCGGAATTTGGTGGGTCTTGGTGGGATCCTCATATTTTACTATTTGTATCTGCAGAATCGAGCTATTAGCTTTTGGACTCCGCCTTTCTAACCAGAACTTCGCCTTTCTAACCAATTTATTTTTCCTCTATTATGTCTACTACATATATTTCTCTTACACACGCACACACACAGGAAGCAGCCCGGATAGCAGCTGTTTAACTCATAAGAACTTAAGAATAAAGGTAACTGCAGAAGGCTTATTGGCCCATACGAGACAGCTCTTAAACTTCCAGGTTTAAGACTACAACCCCAGAACGCTGTCCACTCAGCTATGAGGCCCCTACATTGTGCCCTAGCTTAGCTGTGGTGGGCGACTGGCTTTTGCTCTGCCGGGGACCACTGGATGACATTTAGCGTTTTAGTTAGGGCCAAGTTTTTGCTTTTGCTAAGCAGTTCTTTGTGTGGGGTGGGGCCAGTCCTTGCTTTCCTGAGGGACTCGTGGGTCTCCCCAATCATCTGCCCATCTGTGTGTTTATTGGCCGCGAGGTACATTAGTTTCCACCAACAGGCGTCATTCATTTCGCCATTAGTCTTCGCGATTAACCCTTCACGAGTACGTCGGGGGGGCATCCGGTCCCTCGAGCGTCGTCGCTCCTAAATCAACCAATATACGGCCAACTGTTGAAATTGTTCTCGACCCCTACACTGGCAGCTCTGGTGGCCGCCAACCTTACTCTCACTCCACCACAACGCTACATAGCTTCTCAAACGGTTTTTGCCAGGGAGGGGGGTCAGCTCATGGATCATGCACGGACCGCGACATCACCTCGACACTTCGCCCGACCTTGAAGATGTCTTTCGCCACATCTACCGCGGCCGACCTCGCCACAAACACCAGATTCCAATGCCTCGGAATCACTACACCACCGGATTTAGTGAAGAAGGAACGATACTATGATCTGAATCAATGCTTCACCCGCCAAACACACACCGAAACTACGACGTTGGTACAACGTTCGAACAACTTTTAACACCACCTAACCAGTTATAACAACCAATATAGCAAGTTGTAACGACGTTCTAATACGTCATAAACACGTTAAGCCAAGATGTAACAACTTTATTACAAGTTGTAACAAGCGGAAAATAGAGACAGTTTCGGTTTGTGTTTCCAGGGCATGGGGTTACCAGTACTCTCACTACACCGGCAAGTGCATGTTGTGCACACCAAAATGCAACATTTGCACCGAGGACCACCACTACACTGCCTGCACAGCCATCCACCAGAAATGTCTCCTCTGCAACAACCAACATACACCTGTCTCCCCCCCTGACTGTCCTCGCAGGAAGGGGAAAATGAAGATGATGGAAATCTCTGCCATCGCCACACCTCGACCTGTCAACCCACCCGTGAGCGTCTGCAGCATTCCCGCCCTTGCTCTGGATCACACCTGATAACGGCGCCGCTACCTCACCACCGCCTGGTCCCTGGGGACGCCACACTCAGCTAACCTCACCTCTGCCTGCAGCTGCCCCCCAAATAACACCTTCTACCAGTACTTCTACACCTCGCCGATAAACTGGAGGGCAACGACGTCAACCTCGCTATACGTCCACACCATCAACCGGCTGCTCACCGCAAATGGACTGCCGACGGTCACAGCACCCGGCGACCTTCTCCCAGCTCCTCCAGCTGGCGGCCCCACAACCAGTCCGGAAACAGGGGACGCCACCCACCCTGGCTGCCCTTGTCAACATCGACATTACCACATCCGAAGATGACGACGGACCACCCGTAACTCCGACAATCGACACCAGGAAGCGCTCCAGAACCTACACCGACGTTGGCGAGAATGACCTTGCGACCGAAGACGACAAAAGGACCGCCTACGGTCTCTACATTGCGCCCAGCTAGTTCACCAGCAACGTAAACACCAGACAACAACCGCCTCACAAATGTAACAGGATAATCAGCACGAAGACCGTCAACAAACACCCACACTCCCATTGGTGATTTGGTAAAATGCTATGCCCAAGATTACTATCCGAGTGCCGGCGGTGGGGTGGTTCAAATAGCCTCGGCTATCACCTCATTTTGTCCGGTCGTGATGGTCAAGTGGATTAAGGCGTCTTGTACATACCAGTTGCGTGGCTCCTGGGAATATGGGTTCGAGTCACTTCTGGGGTGTGAGTTTTCAGTTGCATATTGTCCTGGGGACCATTCAGGGTTGTTCGCACTCCCATGTATGTCCACTCCCTACTCCACGAACTCCTACACTGACCTCACTATACTGAAGAGCGAGTTCAACGACCTGCAGTTTCACCGCTAATTGCCAGACGGACAAATGGAATTCCTCGAAAAAGACGACGATCCTGATGGTACCAAAATACCGACGTTATTGTGTGCGATGTAAAGCACACAATACAGTACGTAGATGTAGTAGATCTACAGTAGTAGATGTAGTAGTAGATCTGCAGTAGACCTGTAGTAGATCTGCAGTAGTAGATGAGTACATGTACATTAATAATAAAAGCAGGCGATGAGTCACAATAACGTGGCTAAAGTATGTTGACCAGACCACACACTAGAAGGTGAAGGGACGACGACGTTTCGGTCCGTCCTGGACCATTCTCAAGTCGATTGTGAAGGACTTGAGGACCTGTTATTCATACTGTTATTCTTGATTGTGATCGACACAATCGACTTGAGAATGGTCCAGGACGGATCGAAACGTCGTCGTCCCTTCACCTTCTAGTGTGTGGTCTGGTCAACAACAATAAAAGCATTTGTGTGTACTTCTGGTAAGAAACTGCGTGTGTAAAGGAAGAAATGTGTATGTTTATCACTCAGAATGTTCAGTAATATGTTGATTGTTTGTGTCAGTACATATGAACAAGTTGTACTGAACGGAGTGAGAATAGCTTGAGGTACCTTATCAATTCGTGTATAAAATAAATAAATAAATGTTTATTTAGGTAAGGTACATACATACAAGAAATTTTTACAAAGATTGGTTGACTTATAGGTAGAGCTAGTACATACAATGCCTAAAGCCACTATTACGCAAAGCGTTTCGGGCATGAAAAACTTAAATGACTAAAGCTTAATACTAATTGAGCATAATGAGTAAAATGAAAACAAGAAATGAAAACATAGCTGAAAAAGCAGCACAAATACAATTCTGTCGACAAACAGCGCTCTTTAAAAAAAACAGACATTGGTTGACAATAGAGGGGTAAGGTAGGTTACAGGGAATTTATTAGCTATAGAGGGCCTCGTAGCCTGGTGGATAGCGCGCAGGACTCGTAATTCTGTGGCGCGGGTTCGATTCCCGCACGAGGCAGAAACAAATGGGCAAAGTTTCTTTCACCCTGAATGTCCCTGTTACCTAGCAGTAAATAGGTACCTGGGAGTTAGTCAGCTGTCACGGGCTGCTTCCTGGGGGTGGAGGCCTGGTCGAGGACCGGGCCGCGGGGACACTCAAAAAAAGCCCCGAAATCATCTCAAGATAACCTCAAGATAGATAGCTTCGTTTTTATCTTAAACTATATATATATATATATATATACCTCAATACAATTTTTCAATATCAATTCAATACGGCCAATGACTAACAAGATAGAGCGGTAAATTCTACTCAAGCTTTGCACATTACATCAACTTAAGATAACCCCAGGAGTCAGATTTGTCTTGTAGATAACACAAACAAGATGGTGTGGCGGCCAGAGAGGATGTCTCCGTGGCGCAGTGGTAAAACACCCGCCTGGCGCTTCGTGAGCGATTTGTCATAGGTTCGTATCCTGGCTTGGAAGGTTTGACTAAGCGCCAATCCTTAACTGTAGCCTCTTTTTACCCAGCTGAGAATTGGTACATAGATAAGATATGATGTTTATTCAGGTAAAGGTACATACAGTGAAAATGAGTTACAAACATAATGTCGGATTAATAGATAATATTAATCTATTTAGGAACAGGACATACATAGTTGCAGAGTTACAGTACAAACATTCTGTTTGATTTAAAGATAGAGGCAGTACATACAATACCTAAAGCCACTAGAATTAATAGATAGAGCTAGTACATACAATGCCAGAAGCCCCTAATACACACAGCGTTTCGGGCAAGATGTGGTGGAAAAACCTAGACCAACATTTAATACTAATTGAGATCAAAAGCATAAATTGATTTGGAAAAAAAGAATAAGAGAATGATAATT